AAAGAAGTGTATCCTTTTATATAAGGAAGTACTGATTCATATTTAAAGGAGAGATTCTATTTAATTTGACTTATCACTAAAAGTGTGTATGCGTAACCTTATAATGTATGAATTCACTCTATTCATACTAATTACAATTGTTTATCTCAATGTCAATCCTTAAGCAGACATTATTCTACGACAGCCCTAGCTTGAATAAGTCCAATGATTAACATTAAGTTGCATTGAGATATAAAGAGAACCTAATGATCTACAGGCTCTAAAATAGAGCTTTTCTTCATTTATGATAATATAAGCACTCATACTATGTTATTCTATAAAAAGACGTAATGGTTCCTCGGATCAGTATCTCTCCTTACTGTCTAGGTTTCATATCTATCTTTAACAAATGGCCAGACACATGATGATGTATCGACTGAATTAACAAAGCACCTTCTTATTAAATGAAACTTTAGATAATACATATCTACGAGAGGTCGCGTTATTCTCAGCATCCACAGTTTAGTCATTATCTATATATCGTGAATTACACTTCATAAGACGTGATCTTGGTTGTTATCAGTCTTTTCTTTATTATTTCGAACTTGTACTACAATAAAAGACAATAAAATAATTGAAATAAAAAAATATTTGATCTTCATCTTCTTTTCGTTCGACCTTGTAACTACGCACCTGGGTATACTTCCGTCGTTCTTGCTGTCAATGAATGAGTCATCAAGCCAACAAGCAAATGAGCAGCCTCCGGCATGGGCCATACAGCTCATGCAACGTCTTTCCGTTATGGAATCTACCATGGCTTCTAATCCTCTGTTTCAGGCAGACCCTAACGTTACTATTCGTGCCCCTGGTTCTGATTTCATCCCTTCAGAACCTATGCTTGAACAATGCCCCTACATTCAGGAAGACTTTTTCAAAAGTCCACTTCCGGAAGCGGACCGTCGACGCTTTCTCTTCGAGTGTCCTAAGAACTCTCTTCGTAATTATGACCCTCCGAAGCTTAATAAAGTTCGTTTGTCTTCTACTGCTAAACAGCACGACACGCAACTCTACAACATCCAGTATCGCCTGTCCGATATCACTCGCCCTTTGGATTGGTACACCTACCAGCTTTTGCACGGCAATTGAGACCTTCCCACTCTTCAACAACAGTCTTTGGATATGGTCCTCGCTATTCACGAACTTTTATCCGATCTTGCTTCCCATATTACAACTCAGCGTACAGATAACATGTTTCGTGGCATCTCAAGCCAACTTGACGCTCCTTCCACTGACAACAATTACCTGCTTGATCCCAAAGAAATGGTCGATCACATCAAGCTCCAGCAAAGCGTGCAGCAAGCCACCACGCGCAGACGCAACAACAATAGGCCCCGACCTAAACGTAACGACAATCATGACACCATCAGTACAACATCTAATCAACCTGTTATCTCACGTAACACTACCGATCTCCCAGCTCCCCAATCGTCCCAGATTCCCCAATCCAAGACGGTTTTTCAACAGCGCCAATTACCAAGGAAGCAGAATTGAGATTAGTAGGTGGTCGCTTGTCCTCCTACTCCTCAATTTGGCCTTCCTCTCTCCAACAATCATTTAAGCTCATGGTTTATCAATCTTATCCAACACGGTTACCGCGTTCCTTTAACATCATATCCACCACTCGTTTCACCAACTCTTCAACATCAACACAATCACCCTCAGTCAGCAATCAACGTTATAGACAACGAGACCCAAACGCTCCTACAGAAGCAGGCAATAGAACCTGCGCCGCTAGGATCAGCCGGCTTCCATTCTCAGCTCTTCGTCATCCCCAAAAAGGATGGAGGCTTGCGCCCAGTACTCAACCTTCGACACCTCAACAGCTACTTACCACAACAACGTTTCAAGATGGAAACCATGTCAACCATTACTCGCCTCCTACAGCCACACGACTTCCTCATGTCTATCGACCTACAAGACGCCTTCCACCACATTTTGATCCATCCCTCTTCTCGACCCCTGCTACGCTTCCGATGGAAACAGCAAACATACCAGTACCGCGTTCTGCCATTTGGGCTAAGGCTCTCGCCGCTGATGTTCACG